GTCCATCTTTACTTGCTCCAAGGCAGCCCATTCCTTCCCTCTCGCACCACTCACCATGCTGTAAATAACCACCTGCCTGTCTGTATCCCCAGGAAGTCAAAGACTACCCTCCCTGGGCACATAAAGAGCACCCAATACATGATAATTCTTGTTGCTACAGTGTGTCCTCAAGAAATATCTGCTGAATGACTGAAATAGGGGCAGGAATCAAAGAACATAACTTTCTATTTGGAAAGTGTCTTGCTAAATGCTTGTCATTGGATAAGATTCACTATATTGCAGCTCTGGTCTGTTGTGTTGTAAGCAGGGTTAAATAAATAAAGGCAAATTTTTAAAACATACCAGAGAGGAGCAGAGCTGAACTGGCTCGCTGGAAGTTTCAGATTAAAATAAAGGACTGTCTAGGAGAAGAGAGCCAGCTGGCTGCTTAGAGGACATGGAGTTTAAAGCAAAGTCCTAATGGAGATAGTCTGAGGGAGACAATCCAAGGGGTCCCCTAGCCACACAGACGATGGTGGGGATAGTGTTCAGACTACCTAGGAGCTCTGAGGACTCTCAGAGACAGACTGGCTAGGATGGGGCCAGAAGGGAGTTGCTGGGTCAGGCTGGGCCAGCTACTTAGTCATCCTGCCAGTAAACATCCTCCAGGAATATTGTGCCTTGCAGAGAAGGAGCTGTTGTGAAAATGACCTAGGCAGACAATCTGACTGCAGCGCTGTAGGCAGGGCTGTGTCCTTCCCCTTGGCTAAGAGGTCTCTCATGCTCCCTCCTCCCAAGCAGCCAAAGAATAAGAAAAGATAGACAACCAACGTTCATGACCTCCTGCTATGGACCACTTCCTTCTCCCATGAAATGCCTATGAGGTTGGTAGTATCATTTACATTACACAAAACTCAGCTGAGAACTGTAACGCACCTACAATCACACAACTGGCAAGTAGCAGAACCAGAACTTTTAGTTTTGGCCAGGATTGAAAGAGAACCTCTTGCCCCACAGGATGCAGCCTGCCCTCCCAGCCTCAGAGGAGGTCTGATGGGGCAGAGAATTTGACAGCAAGATGCTGCTGGCACAGCCTGCTCCTCTGAGAGCTTGGCAGGCCTGTCCTGACCTCTGTCCCAGAGCCACCTCCATCTGGAGACATAATTTTATTGGAGTCTCAGCTTGATCTGCTGATGTTCAGCTCACCTGCCTGCTTCTAGCTAGATCTCTCCCGACACTTCTGTTAACCCAGCTCCAAATAAAGCAAGAGTCCACAGACCAATGTTCCTCAAAGGGTGGTCTCTGGGATGTTTGTGTAAGTGGCAGATTCCAGGCCCCAACCCAGACCCAAAGAGTCATAATCTCTGGAAAAGGGACCCAGGAACCTGCAGTTTTAACAAGTTCCCTGCATGATCCTTATGCCAGCTAAGGTGGGAGAGAGACTGTCCCCGGGGTCCCAGGGCGGCAGGGGCTCCCAAACTCCCCCATGAACACATTCCATTCATCCCCCAACTCCAAAATTGCAATAGTACATACTTAAGATAAAAAATTGGGGGATTTTTTTTAATTAATTTTTTTTTAATTTTTATTTTAAATTGGAGTATAGTTGATTAGCAACATTGTGTTAGTTTCAGGTGTACAGCAAAGTGATTCAGTTATACATATACATGTATCTATTGCTTTTCAGGTTCTTTTCCCATTTAGGTTATTTTAATTTTAAAATTTTTTTAAAATTAAGTGACCTATTATTTTACCACGTAGAGAGAAGCACTGTTAACATTTTGGATTAATTCCTTCCGTTATTTTTCTATGTATATAGACACAGATACGATTTTCCTGTGAACAGCATTACACCAGACCGTTTAGAGGCCTGCTTCTCTTGCTCAGCTGAGCACAAACACATGCAACTTTGCCACCTAGAAGGATACATGGGCATCACTGCAGGCCATCGATGTACAATTCTCCATGGCTGCTTCTGACCACCACAGGATGACAGGCAAGTCGTGTTGATGCAGGAGGACGGGGAATTAGAATCAGGATGCCAAGGTATTGACAATTTGTGTTTCTGCTGACACTACCCATCTCCCCAACCTCAGAAGGCTACCACCTGGAGGTGGGTCAATTCCAACACACTCAAATTTTTTTAATCCTAAATGGTTAGCAGTGGAAGAAACTTTAGAGGTCATCCAGACCAGTCTCCTCACCTGTAAAAGAGGAACCAGAGTCAAGACAAACCTAGCCTCTGCTGGAGTCTCATGGTGTCTCCTCACCACACCCAGGGTCTCCCAGACGTCTGCCAGGCTTGACAGAGGGCAGCAGCCACCTAGGGCAGGCCCAGGTGGGGATCAGGGCCTCAGGACACACCTTGCAAATTTCCAGGGTCTCTCAATAATATCACCACAGCCCTTGACCCAGCAACCAATTTTCAGATCCAAGGGTATCTGTCTGGCTGCGGAACTTTGTTGAGGAGTGTCCTGGTCACAGCCATTGAATTCCAAAGGCATTAGGTCCCCACACTCTTGGCTGAACAGCCCTTGTACAAAGGAGGCTCTGAACCAGCTGAGAACCATAGTCCAGTCTCATGCTGCTTAAGAATCTTCTCCAGCCTTAACGTGATAATCCAGGCACAGTGCCCCTGAATCACAGTGCACGGGACAGTCATGAGCAGCAAGACTTGGCTGAAGAAAAATCACCAAATTCTGCCCACTCAAAAAATACCTTGAGTGTCCCACTCACGTGAGTTTGGTTTCAGCTTCTGACTCTCTACCCC